CAACCGATTTTTCCATCCGCGACATCCATTTTTCTCCCTCCCCGTGTCTCCCACGCGATCGTCGAATCAGTATTACGCGCGGGGCGTCGCTTTTTTTTCCCTCCCCCCCCCCTCGTATTTCTCTCCTCTCGTAAATCTGTACCGCTGTTCCGTTCAACGGCCCGACCACGCAAATGAGGGGAAGACCGAGCGCGCGCATGCAAAAAATCGAGCTCGCACGATCGGAGAACATCGGAGAGAAGCAGTATTTTAAGCGGCCTAGCAGAGTCGCGGCTCGCCGAGCTCCGACCGCCGTACCGTGCCATGTACATACACTCCCCTTTTCTCAATCTTCCACCCTCCTCTCCAGCCGCACCCTGTCCACGTACACCGCGTGTCCATATTGTAAATGATACACGATGAAAACCCCGCACGGCACGGGCCCGGTCGTCGCCGGCGCCACGAGTATATTTTTGTAATTTTGTATTTTGCATCGCGCCTTTCTCCGTGGCGGCCACGGCGTCTCACCCGGCACCGATCGCGCCGGAGAGGATCGATCTCGTTCGTCGATACCTCGCCGTTCAACCCCCTCGGACACACTCGACGGGGGGAGGGACGGGGCCGGGGATCCACCGGCGCGCGTTCCATTTAACACTGTGGGAAAGTGCTGCGCGCATCCGACAGTTAACGAAGCGAATGTAACCGTACGTCATACCCGGCATCGGGGATAATTTATTGATTGTCGCCGAGTGTATCCCGAATTGCGATTGCGAGACAGTCTCACCTATGCGTCCCGCGCCGCGGATGTTCGTCACCGATCGATCACGGAGCACCGGGTGACACCTATCTCGTCTATTTCGAGTGCGATCGACCGCGCGTATCTTCCGTACGAAGCCCTTTCCTCTCCCCCCCCCCCCCTCTCTCTCTGTCCACCTCGCTCGCTCTCGTAACTAGGAACTTATTAATTCTTGACAACGAAGTAATCGAGGTTTAAACGAGCTTTTATTTTTATTCGGGGATAACCGAGATTCGCAAATGAAAATCCTTTAAATGTCAACGAAGCGATTGAACGTTCAATCCACTTTTTTTTTTTTCGTAATGTGAAACTCAGTGGGGTCTATTTTAAATCTCGATTTATATCGAGGGTATTCCAATTTTCGTTTTGTCGAAGATTTTTCGTTCGGCCTGTATTTACGCTCGCAAGATTTATTGTCAGAGCGAAAGGGACACATTGCCCCGGACCGATAGCGTAGGTCGGCGGGCGAAATTAGAAATTTCGCGATTTTCACACGTACGACAATTAACTGACATTATTATTAAACACTTTCATGATATCGCGATGCCGCATCGCGAATTCTCAGCGCTCAATTATCTATCCAACTGCCAACTGCAACGCAATGTCGTTCGCGTGATATTTGAAATATCGTGCACGCACACTCCTCGCTTCCAATGCCCTTCGATTTGTACGTGCTCGTCAAGTGTAACGGTAATTTACATTAAAATGGGGTAATTTACGACTGGCACAAGCAAGCTCATTTAGGCCGCTCTCATTTATACGCGTTGCACACGGGGGCTCGGACTCGGTCAAAATTTTTGTCCAAATTAATAGTGGCGTCATTTCAATAATTTTAATATATTCGCATATCGCGCATATCATTAACATCATTTATACAGGGTGCTACGCAAGACTTTGACGTCCGGTCATGGGAAGGTAGAGGGGACTAAGACAAACAGAAAAGTATTGTACTATTTTGCGCTTGA